ATCCCTGCCAAGCATGTGAGTAGGTAGAGATACTGAATTACCTGAAGCCACATGTTTATTCAGGCTGTGCATTACTCTATAACAATTCTAGGCCATATTGTATCCAAACCAGCTCGTGGTAAACTTCAGCAAAATACTCTGAGGTCTGACACCTTCTGTGTGAGAAAACAGCTCAGCTGTGAGAGCAGAGTGTCTGTCCTCCACCAAGGATCACCCTGACCTTATTTTGTTGGCATGGACTTGGAAAGCAATGCAAGGTAAAATTAATTTCATTAGTGACTGTCGGAAAACTCCTCAGAGCAGGGGGGTTCCTCAGAGCTGCCTGAGTCAGGGCTGCTCACGTGGTTATTCCTGTTACCAACTGCAGATGGATTCGTGGTGTTAATCCCGGGGCACAGCCGTGTTTTGGGATAGTGTACAAATGCCAGGCAGCATCGTTGCACTGTAGAGATGAAAGCTTGTGTTAAATCTAGAGAAAAGCCTGCTTAGATCTAACTTTCAGTATTTAATTGTGTTTTGGAACCTGTGGCTGCTGTAAGTTTGAAGGAGGACAGTGTGAGTTTGTTCCGCACGTGGTAACGACTGCTGAGGAACAGAGTGTGTTATATGAACAGACCAGGCTGGAGAATTGTAATAATCCTTGGAATCTCCCTGCAAAACGTGGTCCTGGACCATCTGCTCAAGGTTCAGGGTGCTGGAGGTTGTTGGTGTTTGGGTCTGGAGGGGAATCAGGGATCTGCTGCATTAACTGGCATTGCCTGTTCTTGGGTGCTGAGCTGGTCTGGGTCTCTCAAGGAGAAAAATCAAAGAGCACAAATTCCTGCTTGAGAGGGAATTCCTATCTTAGTCTTTTCAGTTTTGTTCCTAGGTTACCTCTTCCCCAAGGAACCTCCCTCCTTTAATTTGTTGGGGATAATCACAGCTCTTAATTGGATCTGTTGCCTTTACCAGTGCTGTCCAAAACATGTAGGGGATCCCTTGGCAGCCTCTGCTCATCCCAGACTCCCAAGTGGAACCCTTTGACTCTGAAAAGTGAAAAGCAGGAGAGGGAAGTGTCCAGCACTGCTCCTTCCCTGGAGGATGGGAGGCTCCCAACTTTTTTAATCCCTTGAGCAGTACATGCAGTGACTTGGCAGTGCAGCTTGGCAGTTCAATTGAGCAGCTCCCAGGAAACGTTAAAAACTGCAGAGCACTTCAGTTGTTTTACTTTGAGAAGGTGTTTGAGGTCAAAAGGCTGGGAAATGCAAACTTTGTGTGGTATTTCCCTGGGAATGCTCAGTCCTGGAGCCAGCAATGGCACAGCAGCAGTGTCAGAGCTCCAGGCAGAGCCTTTCCTGTGTCCTTCACAGGAGATGTTCCATTGCACCAGCTCTCCTTCGGAGGACACAGCCTGGGGAGCTGCCCAGGGAGAAGGAGAATCTGACCCAGCAGCTCCAAAGGAGAGGGATGTTTGTGTAGCAGAGGCATCACCTTCACGGGAACTGGGGGAGTTGGAACTGCAGTGATGGTCAGCTCCAAAAAAAAAACAGAGTAGATTAAAAGCACTGGAGTGAAAGCTGCTGGCTGCACTGAGCCTCCTGCAGCTCCCACTCCCGAGGTGAGTGAGAATCCCTGAGGGATCTGTGACCTTCTCCTGAGCATCCCTGAGGGATCCATGACTTTCTCCAGAGCTTGGCTAGCTGGCTGTGCTCCAGCACTCGTGACAGACAGGAAGACAAGGTGGCAGGAATTCCCAGCCATGAGGAACAGTGGGAGGGCAGCTCACTCTGGAAGCCAGCCCTGCTCACAGGATTTAGGGAAACAGTGCAGTGCAGTACAGAAGGGGTTTGCCTGGATGTTTATTCCAGGATCATTCCCTCAGTCACTCCCAGCCCCTCCAGGCAGGCACCAATCAGCCCTGCTCCAACCTTCAAGTGTCTGCAGCTGCAGCAAGAGCTGCTGGAGCACCTTCAGCTTCCTCTGCAACCTCCTCTCCCCCTCCCTCTGCACTGTCCTGGCCATCCAGGCCCATCATCTCTGTTGAGCTGGTGACTTTGGCTTTTATTACTTTAAAAATCGAGTTTCAGCTGCTTTAGGTGTAAAGCTGAAGGCCTGAAGGAGGTGAGAGGCTTTGTGTGCTCTTCCACCTCCATGCTCAGTGCCTGCCTGTGCTCCCTGCTGCCAGCCTGCAAAGCTTTTCATCCAAACCTAGACACGTAGAATTTTGCTGATTTGTGCCAAATTCTGTCGTGACACAGCTGTGGGACGACAAGGTTGAGTAATGTACCTTTTGCTGATGCAACCTGAACAATCCAGGGTTCTCCCACTGCCTTAACACTCCATCCTCCAGCTGGGAAGGGTTGCCAGGTGCTGTAGCCAGAAATATCTGCCGTGGCAGAAGGGGTTCCTCCCTGCTGCTCTCCTGCCTGGGCACCTCTCCAAAAAAAAAGAGCTGCCTTTTGGTGGCAGTGGCCAGAACGCAGCTGGGAGCTCCTCTTGCCATGGAAGTTTTTTGTAGCCTGAGCCCGAGTGGCTCCGTTGGTGACATCTGTTCCCTCGGGAAGAGCCTCCCGTGGCACAGAACTGAGGGACTGAGTTGCTGCCAAAGAGCATCTTTCCCGTGGTCCAATGTGACAAAATGTACCTTGTTCATTAGTTCAGCTGGTCCAGTGCTTAAGGAATTGGGGCTGTTCCCAGGGATGTCACAAGCTCCCAGTTAACTCACGTGGGACGTTTTAATGTTCAGTGATCAGGATTGGGATCATGGATTGCCGTGGAGTTCACCACTCTGATTATACACTGGGAGGGTTCAGACAGGCTGATCCTTCCTAGGATTCCTGGAAGGGCTGGGACTTTCCCTGCTTGTCCCTCCGGGGCTGGGGTTGGTGGCACTGTGGCTCCGTCTAGTGGCCTGAGCCCGCCCTGGGAATGGGAACGCCGCAGCATTCCCTCCAATTCCACAGCGGCTCTCTCAGCCCCTGTGGCAAAGGGGAGGGATTTAAAGTCCCCCCCCCATCCCTTGTCTCCCAAGCTGGAGTCAGGAATTCGTTGCTCACCTCAGGGCTGGCAGGAGACACCGTTTTATTTCACACCAAACCGATCCCACTTCTTCTTCTGTTGCACCATCCAGCACCAGGCACAGGGATCTCATCCCACAGGGAGGGGTGGCACAGGTGGCACTGTGATGGTGGCACCACCTGTACTCCTAAAATGTCTAAAAATACCCAATTTGACACGAATGAGCCAGTTTTACTTGATAGATTGTCTAGATTAATATAAATATAAATAAGGCAAATGCCATCCAGCATCATGGACTGTCCACTGACTGTGGGTGCTGCTGCTGTTCTCACAGAGTTAAACCATTTACAGAGGTAAAAGTAAAATATTGGGAAGGTTTTCGAATCCAGAAGTTAAAACTGAAGTGCTGCACCAGCCTGAACAGTGTTTGCTGCAGAAACACCAATGCCACAGCCTGAAAATAAGGGATTTTGTGTCCAGCTGCCTCTCAGGATACAGGACAGCCCTGCTTTAAATAATATGGATATATTGCTAATGTAGCTGATACTTATTTTACCCAGCAAAACATTTAGTGAGTGATTATACTACAGAAAAAAAAAAACAAAAAACTTACCAGCCTTTCATTTTCCAAAGTAGGAATATGTAGGCCTCTGTACAAAATTCCAAGTTGACAGTTGAGAATGTTCTGCTGGAATTTGGTAACTGCAGAGCCCGGAGCTGCTGCCCCTTGCTGAGCTCCATATATTCATAAATGACCTTTTTAAACCTGAGGACTCAGCAAAAAAAAAAAAATAAAAAAAAAATAAAAAATATCTACAGAGTTACTGCTGAGTTGAAGTTTAATTAGTTTTATTTCTATGGTGCTGACCAGACAAGGTTTAGGGAAGCAGCTGTTTCAGAGTTTTCCCTTAGGTAACTCAAAAGTTCCAGGTGTCTCCAGTTCTCCAGGATGGTCTGGGTGCTCTGGTAAGCAAGTGGATGCAGCTGAAGCCTTTCTAGAACCATAAATAAGAGGCTCAGGAGCAATTCTTGAGACAACAGTTTGTCCTTCACTCCTTTCTAGGTTATAAAATGTTTAAATAGCCATGTAATTTCTTTCAGCAGAAGCTCCACAGGTTAGGGAAAACGCTGTTATAATCTCCAAAATACACAGTTTTGGCAAATTGCTGGGCTAAGTGCCTGTGAATGCTCCCAACAGCTTTCAAAATGTGGATTTTTAAAGCACCCACCTCCTTTTCCTCAAATGTCTTTCAAAGTGTGTGGGACCAAACAGCCAACACACCATCCAGGCACCAATTCCCAAATCCCTCAGGGCTGGTGTTTCCTGCCCCTTCTCCCAGTTAACAAAATTCTCCCTCAAAAGTCAGTTCTGCAAAGTCTGAACCTAAAAATAACCATCCTGAAAATCCAAGGCCTCATAATTCTTTAATCATCTCAACATAATGTGGGGTTTTCTTCCCTAAAATTGAAAGAACTCCCTCTTTTAAAATAGATTAAAAGAAACATCAGGTTCTTAGAGATATACAGAAATTTCTTTGAACCTGTAAGATTGAAGCTTAATGTCCAACACAGAACAATTCCCACCTGGCTGTATAAAGTATTATTTTATGGGTTTATACTTGAAACAGAGGAACATATTGTGTTTCTAATTAAATCCCTGGATCATGGAATGGTTTGGGCTGGAAGGGACCTTAAAGCCCATCCAGTTCCACCCCTGCCATGGGCAGGGACATTTTCCACTAATCCCAGGTTGCTCCAACCTGGCCTTGGACACTTCCAGGGATCCAGGGGCAGCCACAGCTTCTCTGGGCAACCTGTGCCAGGGCCTCCCCACCCTCCCAGGCAGGAATGAGATCCCTGTCCTGCCAAAACTTGGGATCCCTGTCCCTGCCACCTCTGCCTTGGGCAAATACTTCATAAGTGGACCAGAGTGGAACAGGCTGCTTGGACACAAAGGGAAATTTGGGAAATATGGAGCTCCACACTCCTTCAGCATCCCTAAGGAAACAGGAACTCAGTGGCACATCCTTCACTCAGGTTTTAGTTTAAATTTGACAGAAACCTGATAAAATTCCATTGTTTGCTGTGCATCCAGGCATCTGTGAGTTACTTGCACTGAACTGCTTTAGCAGGGACTGGGAAACATAAGGCAAAACTTCAGAAAATATGCCAAATGTCCTGGGAATACTGATCACAGGGAATGCTGCCCCTGCCTGGTTTATTTGGAATTTGTTTGTTCCAAATGCACACGAAGCATTTCAGCATTTTAACTCCTCTGGAATAACATCCAGGCAGGGAATTCCACGTCAGAACCCCCCCTTTGCTCCCCATCCAGCAGCAATTCCCAAACATCTTTGCCCAATGGATTATTACCATTAGGCTTTTCAAGTCAGGAACCCCAATTTTCCTATAAAATCACACAAGTACTTGGAATTCTGATTTACTACAGCTTTTAAACCACTTACTGCATGAGAAAAAAAAAACAAAACAACAACCCTTAGGATCTGGAAAAATTTTAGGCATTTTTAATACAGTATTTTAGGCAGATGCAATAAAATTTGGGCCCACCCCTGAGTTCAATTCTTAGATTAACTCATGGTCTGAAGGTTTTTCACCTCTTGCATGGCTGCTCATGCTAAAAACTTCCCTAATCACGGCTTTAAGCAGAAACAGGAGCTTAGTTAGGAATTTTAGAGTTAGGAATTTTCCAGCCTTTTAAGCAATAATAAGGTCAGACTCAAACACAAATCAGATTTGGAAAGGAGGGGTTTTTTTCAGAAAACCAGGGCTATTTTCCAGTGGGATTTGTTGCAGAGTTGCTGTCACTGTAGATGACAATTAATTTCAAACTGATCACTGTGTACAGACCTTTGTTTGTTGAGCAGTGTCAGCACTTGGGGCACAGAAACCCCAAATATTGGCAGGTGATGAGTGTGTTTCTGGTCCTCTGTGACCCTCCTTTCTCCCTCACCAGGACCACTCTCTGCTTTATCTATTTTCTGAAGCCTGCAGAGTCATAATTACTTTTTTTTGGGGGGGAGGGGAAGCAATAAAAACTGTGCTGTAGTATCAGTGTTCTTGTGGCAAATAATTTATTTCTGAACACGTGACATGGCAGGCTTCTAAAAAACAGAGGGGTTTGGGTTCTGAGATGTAAGAACAATCATAGAACAAGGCAAATATCTCTCAAAGAGCTCTCAGGATCTGCCCACAGAACAATCAAATCCCAGATCCTAAACCCATGGCACAGCTGTAGTTGTACCTGTTTCTGGAAATACAAGAGCATCCTTCCCTCAGTTACCCAATTCTGTATCTTCAGCTATTTAACAAAAAAAAAACAAAACCTCTTATTTTTTAAAAACTTCGAGCTTAACATCCATCCTTAGAACACTGACATCTTGTCTAGAGAGTGTTGTCCCCAAAACCTCACTTTTATACCTAAAAAAATAACCCGTCCTCCGATCCCACCCGAACCCCACGTGCAGCTGTTGGAAAAGAGCCAAACTCAATCCTGACCACAAGGGAATGAAGGCACTGCTGAAACCTCCCCCCCACCGTGGTCCTGGAGGTTTCTGCACCTCTTGTGGTTTGTCTCTAGGAGACACTGTGGAATTCTGCCAGGCAAAATCCCTGGGAACAGGAGCTGCTCCATGGACAGGATGTCACCGTAGTCTCCTCCCCGTGTAGTGGATGTGTCCAGATTAATTATGTTCATGCAATTGCAAAATTCTGTATTGTTGTCTCTTAGAAGTGTAAACTACTGAAAACTGGGCCTTGCTGATATGAATAAAGTGATTAAAAACTGGTCTTTACACAGAGGGCAGAGTTTGTCTTCTTTAAATATAAATATCGGGGGGTTCTTCCTTTTTCGTGTTTTAAAATGTGGGGGAAGGAAACTAATTGAGAAAAGCAGACATAAATCACAGGAGAAATTATTGTGCTTTCATCTTCCCTGTGGCTTCCAAAGCTCTTGGGATGCATCAGTACACACAGAGAGATGTTTATATATGGGGGTTGATTATCCCAGTGGTTTTGGGATATCTCATAACCAGTGAACTCCACCTGCCCTCCAGGAGTCTGGGAACACTGTCAAAGACACCAAAGCCATTCTGTTTTATGTCTGTAGAGACACACACAGAAAGTGCCCCACTTTCCCAGAATTTCCCATCAGTTCCTGCAGATCCCACAGGCTTGGAATGTTCTTGGAAGCCTGACAGAGGTGATACATTTAAATACCCAGGTGTGACATTCTCAGAAGGGTCACAGAGGTGAGGCACAGAAAGAAGGTTGTTTTGCTTCACACTGGGCAGAGAACAAATAATGGAGAGTGGCCATAAAACCGTAAAAACAATCCAGGCAGGAATTTGGGAGGCATCCTCAAAGCTGGTTTCTTGGCATAAACATTATTCCTTGGTGACTTTTCATCCATTCCAGAAGATTCAGGCAGAAATCCCTGTAGCTGACCATGTGGGGAGGTGTCTGAGGCAGATGGGACAGAGCATTCCAAAGTACCCTGAGCATTCCAAAGTACCCTGAGCATTCCAAAGTACCCTGAGTGTGTGGGATACCCACGTGGAAAAGTGCTTTGTGAATTCCTGGTATTTTTATTTAAGACTACTGGGATGTTCCAGGGAAATGCTGCCACTGCAGTGTTGTCAAAGGCATCTCTAGAACTGCTTTTGGTTTGCATTTCCCTGCCCTTTAAATGTTGTTTTTACACCAAACAGGTTTTTCAGTTTGTGTGTTAATCCAGAATCAAAGGCAAGTCACGGAATTGCTGGATGACAAATCCTGCCAAGACTGGATGAGTTCACTCGGTGTAAGGCCATGAACTGCAATCAGATGCCTGTACTTACAGACATCAAAATTAACTTTATACAGGAAGAACTGTTCTGCATCTTCTGGAACACTGACGTTGACTTTAAGAATGTTTAAGCAAATTCCAACATAAACATCCTCAAATTTCACGGGTTTGACGTGGCTCATCAGCTCATAAATCCTCAGGGCCAGCTTTCCATCCAGGACATAGCCCAACCCACTGCAGTACGGAGGGTACAACCTGTAGGGGTATTCCTGGTAGGAGATGGATCTGGTTTTGTCAGAGCCCCTGTAGGCAAAGTTGTTGATGAGGGGGTAACCAGTGAAAAGGGTCTCCGAGGAATTCCACTGCAGCAGGAACTTCACCAGGTTGGGGGCGTTGATGAAGACATCACTGTCAGTCTTCATGAGGAACCTGGTGCTGGGGCAGAACTCGGAGACCCACTGGAACCCCATGATGGTCTTCAGGGTGAGGTTGTCGTAGGTGTCCACGAAATCCTGCTGGATGATGTCTCCATAGAGGATGCTCTCGTCCTCCACCGACAGCTCTGCCGCGTTGTCTCCCCTCTGGGTGTCCTGCCCCAGCAAGAACAGGGTCAGGACTCGGTGGCCCCCCCAGGAGCTCCGAGAGCCCCACGTTATCCTGATGGCCTGCCTGGCCTTCACATCCCTCGGGCTGGAAGACACCAGGATGACCAGGAATGGGTGGATGTCCCGGCACTTCCAGCGCTCCCGCAGCGTGAACAGGTAGTTCTGCTTGTAAACGGGTTCATACTCGTAAAAATACATCAGGTTCACCTTCTCAAGCACAGTGTTGGAAGGAAAGGAGGTTATGTACAACATTGTTACCATGGAAAACAGCAGGAGAAACACAAAAACCCACTTCAAGGGCCTCCTGTACGTGGCACCCACTGGAATAAGTGTCATGGTCTATCTGTGGAAGTGCAGTGGTGACCTTCAGAATCCATTGCAAGAGTCCTGAGGCATCTTTCTTGCTGGAAAAGAAAGGAACAAGTAGCATTCAGAGCAGTGTTACCCAAATATCACCTTTTCCTTCTCTAAAGTGTCAGCAGGAAGCGTGGTGTAAAGTGAAGACAAATCCAAGCCTCCCTGATCCAGCTGTTCCGTCCTGCACTCCATGGATCACAGCAGAGCATGGAGCACGGCCTGGACTGAAACCTCCTGGCTTTCTCCTTGGAAATTCCCCCTGCATGGATCTGAGCCAATGTTGTGATCCCACCATGTTGTGATCCCAGAGATCCCAGAGATCCATGTTGTGATCCCAGAGATCTCAGAGATCCATGCTGTGATCTCAATCTCTCCCACTCGATTCCACCGCCAGGAAGGAACAAAATCCAACAGCTCCAAAGCAAGTGGATGTTCGGAGGCTTCAAAATGTGGGATTTCTCTTAAACACAGGAATTCCTACTGGTTTGTACGAGCTGGAACAAATCAGCCAAGACAGCAAAAGTACACAAAAATATTTCATCCCCTATCTAAGGGTTGAGCAGCTGCTTGTTCTGAAGGTGGAAGAAGGTAAAAATCAACTCATTTAATTAAATCAAGTGATTTAATAAAGCCATTTTTGACCAAAACCATCACCATTTTTACCATTAGCCAAGTCATGTTTGGATTTGAGACACACACCTCGGCCTGGAGCCCCAACTCCTCAGCAGGTACTTCCAAACCCCATGGAATCCGTGCTGAAACCATTCCCACAGTGTCAGGATTAGAGATCCCAATCAATACATCTTCCCAAAACTCAATTTAAACCCTGCACCCTCCATGTACCACTGTTTACCTTTCCTGTATTTCTTTAAAACTGCACGTGCTGTGCTCATACATTAGACATCTTTAGGAATTCTAAACGATTTCTGATGTTTGCAGTAATAATATTTACCCTGCACTGTAAAGTACTCACAAAGACACAGTAAGGGGGAGGGAAGGTTCGATTTCTCAGCACAATTAATTACTGTTTATCTTCAAAAATATCACCACAGGGCTTCTAAGTGTTTTGTATTTTACAAATACACAGCACACTGGAATCCAAGGAAATTTGATTTGCCAGAGCCCACCTGCCTCATATTTCTGTGTAGGATCTGACTTTAAATTCATCATCCTTTAAAAGAAAAACCTGGAGCACATTTCTTTAAAATTCACCAAAGATGTATCTTTAAAATGGATTTAAAGCAATTTTATATAAATAAGTATTTAATAGAAGATTTTTGGACTGATCTCTCTCAAAACCAGGAAGTAACTAACAGGAATCTTCTCTCTATATCCACCAACTTGACTTTCAGTGAACAATATGAAAATACATAGTGGAAGAAAATAATTTAAGTTTTATATATCAGTGCTTATTGTATCAATAACATTTATCAGGGTTTGATGACCAACTTAAAGTAAAAGCATGTCACAGCTGGATCAGTTCTTGGCTGCCTAATGGAAAAAAACATAAAGACTTTGATTCTTTGTGGCAGTCACCCTCTAGGATCACTGACCACTTCAAACACAGGCAGGAAAACAGGCAAATCCAAGGGGAAACCCCAAACACAGCCCTCAGAAAATCTCCATCTCTTCCTATTTCAACAGGTTAAAGCAAAGGAAGGAGGTTGAAGCAGCGAGGTCAGAGTGGAGCTGGACCTGCTGCCCAGTCCTGGTGCAGGTGCAGCCCTTCCAGCTTCCCAGAGTGGGTTCTCCACCACTTCCAGGCTTTATCTGCTGGCAGTTTTCCCCTTCCAGTGGTACAGCAGGCGCATCAGGAGCAGCACCAGGTCAGGAACTGCTCCTTCCAGGGAATTCCTTTCATTTTCTTCCAAGCTCACAACTCGGTGGCTCTGAGATTGTGCCAAGAGATCAAAACAATGAACTTTGGAACAAAGGTGAGGCAACGTGTGCTGAACATGCTCCACAGGGATTTTAGATCCATCTCTCACACTCTGCTTCAGCCAGGGAATTACAGAGTGTGGACATGCTTGGCAGGAAAACCTCATATTCATTGAAGACTGACAATTCCAATAACTATGATATCATCCAATTTAAAGATTTTTAAATATCTTAATGTTAGATGCATAGAAAAACAAATCCTTTCGCTTTATAAAGCTACCAGCAGAAATTATTTGGAAATATATTCCTGTCCCTTGGCCTCAAGGTCAGGTTGGATGGAGGAGCTCTGAGCAACCTGGTCTATGGAAGGTGTCCCCTCCCATGGCAAGGGGTGGAACTGGATAATCCTTAAAATCCTCCCAACCCAGACCAGCCAGTTATTCCATGCGGCTTACAACCAATCTAGTGGAAATTTTGCAAGACGCCGGTGTACGACGCTCTAATATAACAATACTTTAAGAACTATTTTAAAGGACTTTTAACAACGACTTGCTCTCACTCCTGACCGCCCGGGCAACCCCGGTTCTCTGTTCCAGGCGCCTTCTCTGGTGCCATGGATTAAGAACCAGCAGGGAGGGATGGTGCGAGGGGCTCTGCCGCCCTCTGCTGAACCCAGGCAGCGATTTAAAGCCGGGTTTATTAAAACCAGCGGTCTTTATTAAAATCAGGCACCGGAGCCGCGCTCGGTGCCCGCGGTCATTGGGCTCCCCCCGAGCACCCACCGCTCCCACTCCCATCCCAATTTCCCACTTCCATCCCAATTTCCCATTCCCGTTCCCATTACCGTGTCCCTCGTGTCTTCGCCGGGCCCGGGAAGCGGCGCCTCCCCTTCCGCCTCCCCGAGCTCCGGGAGCGGCCCCGCCGATCCCCGCCTTGCCCCGCCCGGCTCCCGGGGCATCATCCCGGTGGATCCCTCCGGCAGGAATCCCGAGCTAAGGCCGGGCAGGGCCGGGAAGAGCAAGCGGCGCTTTCTCCCCCTCCTGCCTCGGCCGCTGGAATGGCCCCGGCGAGGATTCACTCCCTCCATCCCATCTGCTGACTTTAGCGAGTGGAATAACCTGCCCAGGCAACTCGGCGACCTGCAGAGTTTACACAAAACGGCCGGGTACACAAAAGGGTTATTGTGCTTTGGGCGCAGATTAGTTGGTGCCAAATCAGCTGTCCCGGGTTTATGACTCGGGGTTGTGCAACCGAACCTACAGGCAAACCCTAAACACGGGATAGTCCCGGGCAAACACACCTTTGGACAAAGCAAAGGTGGATGTTCCGTCCGTGCTCGGGAGCAAATATTTGGGGTTAGAACCCGGCGGCAGGAGCTGCATCACACCCTGTCCTGTGGTTTGATCTCGCACTGATTACGAACTCTGAAGCAATGCAGGGAATCCTCACTGGAAGCAGCTCTGGATCACAGGATCCTGCTCTGAACTGAACTCACGTGGGCTCTGGTACAGTTAGAAATGACCAGACCCCGATGCCCTCCCAGGGCAGCTGCTCTGTGCTGGCCTTCACTTTAATTAGCTGGTGAAAATCAGGCACTGCTTGATCACTGCCATGAAGTGACGGCCTGATGTAAGAAGTGACAGTGGTGACCATAAACACTGAACTCAGCTGGAGCAGACACGGAGCAGAGAACCGTGTGAGCTTCGAGTCACAGCACCATCCATCCCTGCCAGGCTTTGCCCTTGCTCAGGATACCATGTTTCCTCAGAACTGCACGCTGTTTTCCAGGGAATTGTGATTCATTTGACTCTATCACACATCACAGAGTTGCCTCCCCGTCTTTCAGTTCATTCATATACATTATTTATAAGGAAACACAAAACCCTTTCTTCCCGGATTTAATACATCATGACCCGCTCCTGCAAAAAGTCCTCCACGTAATCTATACGTGTTATTAACTATGAAAAATGCACAGCACTGAGAACATCACTGTCATATTTTGTTGCCCCCAATTAGTTCTGGTCTAACCCTTTTAGCTTCAAGAGATACCAGATTATAACTTGTCTGACAAGGCTGAGGTCTGTTTTACGCAACGTGTAATATGTGAGCAATCAATGTCGTAATTATTGAAATGATTGTGCTATCAGTCAGCAGCTCCTTTGGCCACCAAGACCTTCACAGCTTTTTGCTGATTATATATTTTCTGAAGCAAAGACAAATGGTTTCTTTGGGTGTGAGAGCAAGTTAGTACTGCAGTACTTGGTATGTGTTGGGCCAGCCCGGTGTAGGTCTGTCTACTGTCTGAAAAATGGAGACTCAATAGGAATTCAATAATATCAGACTAAATTTTCTGTCTCCTCTTGGTTTGTTTTACTATTTAGAATGCTGGCAAAAGAAATTATCAAGACACGGTTATTTCCCTGATTCTTGTCCCTTTACTGAAGGAAATCTTCATCAGTGGGCAAGCACAGAGTAGAGCAGAATGAAGCTAACAGAGGTTTTTAATTTCAGGCAGCAGAGTCTCAGCGATGACTGGTTCATAAGGTCTATATTTACTCATTATATCATCATACAGAGTGCAGTTAAAGTTGTTCATACAAACAGAACCCCCAGCTCACAGCCCTGGCAGGAGGAGGCAGTGCCATGGGCAGAGGCAGGCGGGTGGAGCAGAGCCCGCCTTTAAAGGAGCTCTGTTACAGTTTGATTGAGTCCCTGGGCCTGGGGAGACTCAGATTAGAAACCACTGACACAGAATCACAGAGAATGCTGAGCTGGCAGGGACCAAGCAGGGTCATCAAGTCCAACTCCTGGCCCTGTACAGGACACCCCAAGAATGACACTTTGTGCCTGAGAGCCTTGTCCAAACCCTCCTGGAGCTCTGGCAGCCTTGGTGCTGTGCCCACCGCCCCAGGGAGCCTGGTCAGTGCCCAACCACCCTGTGGGGGAAGAACCTTTTCCTGAGATCCAACCTGACCCTGCCCTGACATAACTCCAGGCCATTCCCTCGAGTCCTGTGACTGGTCACAGAGTGAAGAGATCGGTACCTGCCCCTCTGCTGCCCCTCAGGAGGATGGTGAAGACCCCAGTGGGGTCTGACCTCAGTCTCCTCCAGCTGAACGGACCAAGTGCCCTCAGCTGCTTCTCTCGTAGCTTCCCCTCCAGACCCTTCCCCATCCTCGTGGCCTCCTTTGGATTCTCTCTAATACTTTAATATCTTTCTTATATTGTGGTGCCTGAAACTGCACACAGAACTCAAGGTGACATTGGTTTGTTGCTGGAAGATGCACTTTGAGGACACCTTGTCAGTTTATGGATTGATAAGTATGGACAAACCTTAGGATTTCCCCTCCTCACTGGTTGCATTTATACATAATTCCTTTTCCAAAATGGATGTGGATGCAGGGATTGATCTCTGAGCACGCACTGAGACGGGGCAGACTTTCCCCAGCCCACGGATCAGGGAGTAGAGCCAGGCTGCTGGTCCTGGAAGTGTTGGAAGACCTGTTGGAAGGCAGTAACCTTTGTGCCCATGACCAACTGGTAGGTTACTCATGGTGTCCCACCCACAGGCTTGGCACGGAGGGTGCACCTTCCTGAGCACTGCTGGCCTGTTATCAACCCGATAAACCACCCCGTGTATTTGCACAGAGGTTTTACTGACTGCAGAGCACAGAGCTGCTTCTTCCCCTTCCTGCCTCTTTGTGCTTCATCTCACGGAGGAGGAAAGACATCCATGCAAATTGGCTTCACGGAAGAGAGGGAATAGCCCAGCCTGGCTGGAGTGGAGAACTCCAGGGCAGAAATGGGCCACCAGAACACCAAACCCCACAGAGAGAAGCAAGCCAATATAGTGATGCTGGGACTGGATTCTGCAGGAAAATCCACGCTGTTGTACAAGCTCAGGTATAAAGATGCTTTTCTGACCACGCCAACCATTGGCTTTAATGTGGACATGATTGAAACCGGGAGAGATTTCACACTGACGTTTTGGGATGTTGGAGGGCAAGAGAAAATGAGGCAGGTCTGGAGCAATTTCCTGGAGGGCACAGATGGAGTGCTGTACGTGGTGGACAGCTCTGATAAGCGACGGCTGGAGGAATCCAGGAGAGAGTTTGAGCTCATCTTGAAGAATGAATCCATAAAAAACGTGCCGGTCGTGGTGCTGGCGAACAAGCAGGACTTGCCTGGAGCTTTGAACGCCGAGGAAATCACCAGGAGGTTCAAGATGAAGAAGTACTGCAGTGACAGGACTTGGTACGTGCAGCCCTGCTGTGCCATCACGGGAGAGGGGCTGGAAGAAGCTCTCTATAGAGTGACCACGTTTGCCAAGCAGTACAGCAGATCCAAGGAGTCCTTCAAAATCCTGAAGGAATTCGAAACACTTTAAGGATTTCTATCATCAAACTCTGGAGAATGTGAACATATTTTGTTGGACCGACTAAATCTGGAAATATTGGAGTCTGGGGAACTTTTATACATAAATATTTATAAAGAACTTTGACAATATTGAAGTCTACTGTTATACCTGCAGATGCTTCCGAGATACGACTCTGCAGCATTTTATTATTTTTTTTTTTATTTGCTCAGGGTTGTTCAGCTCAGAAATGTGGCTGTTGGACGATGAGAAAGGTGGAGTTGAGCACCTGGAAACGAAATAGGTGAGAAGTGTTTAAATCCCTTAAATCAGGTCATTTTGTAAGATGTAAACGAGCCAAGTCATTTGTTCAGCAATGATAAAACGCTGTTTTGTAATAAATACTCTGTGGATGTATTTCTCTTATATGTATATTTATATATATATTTATATATATATGAAATAGTGGGTTTAGAGCTTAAACTCTTAATTATGTGCAAGAGAACTTGTTGGCTATTACTGCATTCTAGAAACAATTACTCCAAACAGATTTTAACAAGCAGGATCTGCCCCTCAATCAGCCCCAGACAGAGCTGGGATCCAGTGCTGTCTCTAAGGTGTAGGTCTGATGTCCCATTGTCCCAGATTTCCATGTGCTGGAAATTGTTTCAGCTGGAAATTTCCTTGTTTCACTGCTGGATTGCTCTCCTTAGCCAAGAGCAGAGGGATGGGATCAGTCCAGTGAAGTGCTGAATTCCAATCTTTTTGGGGTGGGGGAGGAATGGGAGAATTGGCTCCTTGGTCATTTTTTTAATAGATCTTGACAGATTCTGTCCTGCCTTTACTGAAACCATCTGAAATATTGTTGCTGATAAATTTAGGTTTGATTAAATTTGACATAACTAATCCCATTACTACAGTTTGTACGAAACAATTCCAAAGGAAATTTCTGTGCAGATTTCCTGCTGCCTGAAGGAGGGAATTAATATTCTGAATTAAGGCAATGAAGGATTGATAACTAGAAGACTAATTGAACTCTATCAACCATGGAAGCAGTTTAAGGCTGACGAGTTAATAAGGCCTGCTCTGTAAAAGCAGGAGAAAAAAGATCATTGAATTGTTGGTTGTAATCCAGCCCAATTCCTTCTGCTTCCTTGGCAGAAGATGGGATGCCCCAGTGCTTTGGAATGCTTTCCTAGATGCCTGGATTTTTTTATCCCTATTCCTACCACAATCTTTGACCATAGACAAGTTGTTTAACTACTCTGTGCCTCAACAGCACCTCAGAAAGATGAACTTTTCCCAGTCATGGGTTCTGGAAAAGTCGTGGCCGTGACCCTGGAAAACAGGGTCCTCTTGTGCACCTTTTTTTTTGGTGACAAAATGATGATGCCAAGTCATTCACAGAGGGAATTTGTGTTTCATTCTTACTAATAAACAGGCAGGAATTTCAAGTTACAGGAGGGTGAAGCAGCAATAAAATCACCTGGACATACCCTGTTGTCTCATGAATATATTACTCAAAGGCCAAAAAATCATCAGGTGAATTTGCTGAAATAGTAAACAAAGGGAGGTTTCTCAACAGAAGCTGTTGTTAATACTGAGACTAATTACCAGGGGCTAAATCCTGACTCATGTTGAGACTCTGTTGCTAAAGGGAGAGCGGGGATCTGGATTTCTCATTGCCTGGGCTGATGATTTAGGTTCAATATAAAATACCATCTTCTGGCCCTAGAAAGATCTTTAAAAGTCATTAACATGAGTTTTCCAAACCCAGCAACTCAACGTTAAGTAATATTCCAAATCAATACATTCATAAGCATTTGCATTTTATGGTATATATTGAATTCTCCTAATCTAATCATGGGTCTGTTATAAACCTCAGCTTAGTTCTGTGGCCTCAGGACTCCCTCAGGGAGAAACACTCCTGAGAGATTTAATGAGGGTTCACCAGGGTCTCTAATTAGACAAGAAGCAAGTTCTGAAGGGAGAAATAAAGTCCTATAATAGGCCAGCTCTTACAGCTAAAAATGAGAATAAGCTTTCAGGCACACAGGCCCTTCTGCAGGTTAGCAAATTACAGCAAATGACACATCAGCTTGAAGAAATATTTTACATTATGCTTTAAAGGAGAGAGATAAACTCTATTCCATTCACTTTGCGGAATATCAAGTACTTAAAAATTGAATTTTCTGAGAGCTTGGTTTCCCAGAGAAGTGAAGCCTGTTATATCTGCCCATGGAGAACCCAACCTTTTGGAATAATTTTGAAGCTTTAAAATAAATATCAGTCGAGCTGGAGGTGCAGGTTCTCAAAGGAATTATAGGCCTGAAAGCTTAATTAAAAAAAATGAGCGAGACACAGAAAAGTGACCACAGCAGTGCCCCCCCGGTGAGGGCAAGGCTGATAAGGAACAAAAGGAGTCCCCACGGAGATAAATGTTCCCTCTGAGCCACAGGAGAGCCAAGGGATCATCAATCCACAGAGCCTGGCTTTAATTAGTTCCTTTGCTCCCAGAGCTGGTTGGTCTTTTAAATCCTGCAGGAATAAGCAGAGTACTCGGAGGCTTCCTTAGGATGAGGAGACCCAGGAGATGGATCCACTGCTCAAAACTGCCTTTCTGGGCCTGCAGCAAAGAACCTCTGTGACCACTCAGCAAGGTCTGGGAAGTTCCATGGGCAGGAAGGGGCAGAGGAAGAGGAACTTTGTGGCTCAGCTGTGGCCGGAGCGGAGCAGAGCTGGTGCCACAGGCTCACCCCAGGCCCTGGGAATTGTTTGGTATCTGATCCCATCACCTGCTCCATGGTGAAATCAATACCCAGGGAGTCACAAAGGTGTTCCACAGCTTCATCCTGCTCTGGAGAGCTTGGGATCTTTCAGCTACTTGGCTGAGAAAGATGAGCAGAATCATCTTTGAGTTTCAGAGCACAGCCAAGTGGAGTTCTACTGCTCCTAAAAATGCATTCCACAGTAACATAAGCAAAATTTATTCCTGGGTAGGTTTTTTATTTTATTTCATTATTTACAATGTTATAGGTCACTCAGTGAAAACAATTCTAGGGGTTTTGAAGGCTTTGGGAAGGTGAGAACTCAGAATATTGAGAACACTGCCCTCTGTGGGAGGGGAACTGAAGCCTGTGAGCTGCAAAGTTTGCATGGGATGAAAGGCCTTAAAGAGTTTGGGTCAGGTGTTTGTATTGCTTCAGGTTTGGGAATTTTTTCTAATGGAAAAAATACCCTGGTATTCTTGCATGTTTTATTGCTGGATTCTGTCAAGTAGCTAAACTGCTCCAGTCCTCCGGTGTCTGCTCACATTCCTTACACAGTTTGCTGTTCCTCTTCCCTTCTGCTGACAGAAGAGTCATCCATGGTGTGCTGGAACACCCCTGACATCACGAGTTACAAGGGGCAGAGGGATCTGTGAGACCCAAGGCGTGCAGGACCCTGTGCCCTCTCAAGGAGATCGTCCACCGGGACGTGTTTGGATGGGACAATTTAAAAGCTGAGGATGGGGACCTGTCCTTTTGGCCATTTGTTGACGAGATCACTGTGGTGTGAAATCATGGTGGGCTTTCAGAGACCTGAAGTAAGTCATGGAGCTCACTGGACACAGATCCAGCAGGATGCAATGCCGTTTGAAGGGAAGGTGTGGAGCACTGTAAGTTTGGATGGCAACACTCCCTCCTCCTCTGCCTGAGAGACAATTCTCCAGTAACTTGAGCACTCTGCAGAATCAGAGGGAAGTGTAATGTCTGAGGAATGCAGGACAAGGCTTTTCCAATATCAGACAGTGCAGTGCTGGGCGTTACTCAAATGTCTCTGTGTCTCCTCCTCGTTCCTTACAAGTAACTGAACTAAAGGGAAGACTTTTCTGGATCAAACGAGTCCTAAATCTACTGCAAAGGGAGACAACAATGCCTTGAAGTGCTGAATAAACATTAAAGAGCTTAAAGCAGGTTTTCTTCTCAAAGCAAATAACCCAAGCTACAACCAGGCTTCTTCCACTTCTAATTAGCTCAGGTATTTCTGTTCAGCACAAGATTGTGGACATGTATCTCCTCAGATCCCACAGCCTGGATTATCCAAGGCTCTGTAATTTAGGATGGAAACTCTGGAGGGTGGAGGCCCTGCTTCCAAAGCAGCACCACACGGCAGGGACCATTTGCAAATGTAAATTCATGAACAGCAACAAGTCCAAACACATCTGATTTTGAAGGGATTTTAGCAGGTTGTGCATTACTTTGTGCTCCAGTTTCTGCAGTGTTCTGTCCTACAGCTGTGATGAATGTTCTTGTACCCCTCCTGCTCATCCAGGATGTGTTTGCAGTGTGCATGTCCCCACCATCCAGCTCTGGGTGGGGCTGGATGTGATAACTTGGGGTTCTTTGGTCACCAAAGACACCACCCCTCACCCCTGTCACCTCTGTGTCCCCTCCCCAGCTACACATTTACACCTGCAGGTCCCCCCCCAGCAGAGCTTTCTCCCCCTCCCGTCCTTCCCCAGGTATCACAAAGGCAGTGCCTGTTTTCCTGGGCTCTTTATCAGATTTTCACGGCGCTTTTGTGCTTGTTCTCATGCCACTCCTTGTGCTTGGAACTACCTGAACACAGCCACAATCCCATGTCATTGTTTTCCTCCAGGTCCTTCCTCAAAGCACTCCTTTCCCACGATGTGTGCAGAGCTCCTGCCGGTGGCTGTTAGGGTTTTACAACCAGGCCCTTGACCCATATCTTTTGATGAGTATTTTTTATTATTTCCTTGTTCTCCCCGTATTTATTCACCTGTTCCCTTGTCGTGCTTTCTTTGGTGCAAAGATCACCTGTTTATTCTGTGCTTCTGCACTGATGAGAAGTTCCTAGGCCTTATATTTCTGCTGTAAGCAGCCTGAATCTGGTGAAATATCTCCTAAAACGAGGAATTTTGTGAGTTTGATAAACCACCAGGCTCTGAAACCTGAGCCACGTGTGTTGTTTCTTTTCAGCAAATCTAGATGGCAACTGCAGCAACAATTTCATTGATCCAGACAAAGGCTAATCTCCTCTGGAATTCTCCTTGGCCGTTAAAGGGTAACTGTGCCTTAATCAATAGTTTTCAGTTACTTTATCTAAAGCACACACATTAATCACAGAAGAATGTGGGGCTCTCGACCTTCCCTCAGCTGA